ACCATTTTCCATGGCTATGTTAAATAATCAGAGGGTATTATATTTATATATACATTGCGCCCGCTGTGCGGGTAAGACATTTCCACCCGCAGACGAAGACGAATTCCGAAGACGAATTACGAAGACGAATTCCCCGAAGACGAATTCCCCCCCGAAGACGAATTCCCACCCGAAGACGAATTACGAAGACGAATTCCCCGAAGACGAATTGCCCCCCGAAGACGAATTCCCACCCGAAGACGGATTCCGAAGACGAATTCCCCGAAGACGAATTGCCACCCGAAGACGAATTCCCCCCCGAAGACGAATTGCGAAGACGAATTCCCCGAAGACGAATTGCCCCCGAAGACGAATTCCCCCCCGAAGACGAATTGCGAAGACGAATTCCCCGAAGACGAATTGCCCCCCGAAGACGAATTCCCCCCCGAAGACGAATTGCGAAGACGAATTCCCCGAAGACGAATTGCTCCCCGAGGACGAATTCCCCCCCGAAGACGAACTGCGAAGACGAATTCCCCGAAGACGAATTGCCCCCCGAAGACGAATTCCCCCCCCGAAGACGAATTCCGAAGACGAATTCCCCGAAGACGAATTCCCCCCCGAAGACGAATTCCCCCCCGAAGACGAATTGCGAAGACGAATTCCACGAAGACGAATTGCCCCCCGAAGACGAATTCCCCCCGAAGACGAATTGCGAAGACGAATTTCCCGAAGACGAATTCCCCCCGAAGACGAATTCCGAAGACGAACTCCCCGAAGACGAAATTGCCCCCCGAAGACGACTTTTTCACCAACGACTTGGGAGAAAAGCATGCATACACTCAAAGCCTACATGCATGTCATATATGCATCTAGTTTTTATTTTGGCAAACCGTAGGGACATTTTTTTGTCCATGGTGGGTTTTCACCGTATAACGGACGTCTTTGTTTGGTTCACTTGCATATTTTCCCTACAAGTCCTAGGGCCTGTCATGTTAGGAACTGGGCCCCCAGTTTCAGGAACTGGCGGAACCATGGTCACGGTTTCAAGGGTTGGTTTATGGACCCCAACACCGATCATGATGACTATAACGAAGGAGGTAACATGAGGTAACGAAATGAACGACTTGGAAAAAAGGAAGAGATAAACAAACCGCATGTAAGACTTGAAAAAAGGAAGGAAATAGCGACATGAACGCATTGACATGAAAGGAAGAGGTAAATGAACAGGATGGAAGCGTTGAAACGAGGGGGGGAAGTAGCGAACGGAAGGGAAGAGTTAAACCGATTTAAAGCGGAAGGAACGACGTATAGGGAACAGAAGGGAAGAGTTGAAACGAAAGAAGCAGCGAACGGGATTACAAAGAGTTGAAACGAAAGGAAGGAAGCAACGAATGGAAGGGAAGAGTTGCAACAAAAAGACGGACACAATGAAAAGGACGAGTTGACAGGAAAGGAAGAGCAGGAAGAACAGGACAGAAGATTTGAGCGAAACGACGGACTTCGCGAAATGAACGCCTTTAAATGAGAGAAAGAGGTGAACGAATAAGATGAAACAATGGGGAGGAAGTAACGAACGGAGCAGAAGTTAAAACGAAAGGAGCGACGTAGGGAACAGAAGGGAAGACAAAACGAAAGGGAAGAGTAACAAACGAAATGCTCTGGATGCTATAGCCTCTGGGCTTGCTCCTTGAGATTTTGAAAATTCTTTTGATGCTACGCTCTTGGCCTTCACCTGAGGCGTTTCAGCACGCCCTTGACGCTACGCTCTGGAGACAGTCGCCTCTTGAATGCTATGCTAATTTTCTCTTGGAAGTTCGAACAAGCCCTTGGTGCTACGCTCTTGGCTTAATCTTGGGTTTTCCGACACGCTTTTGCTGCTACGCTCTGAGCATCTCTTAGCTTTCTCCTGGGCCAGTCCGGCAAGCTCTTGATGCTACGCTCTTAGCTGTCTATTGGAAGTTCCAACACGCTCTTGGTGTGTTTTATCTTCCAACACTTTCTCTTTGCCTTGTCCTGGGACGTGCCAGCACGCTCTTGACGCTACGCCCTTGGCTTCTCTTGAAGCATGGCGCGCTATTTTTGCTTCTTTTTGTGACGCATTGAATTAAAACACGCTCTTGATGCTACGTTCTTGGCTCCGGCTCTGACACTCTCTTGATGCTACGCGCTGAACCTCGTCTTGGAACAGTCCAAGATGCTGTTGACGCTACGGTCCACCACAATCGTGATGATACGCTCTTATAATTTTTCTTGGAACTTCCAACGCGCTCTTGTTGGTGCTACGCTCCGCCTCTTGACGCTGCGGTCTGGAGAAAGTCACGCTCTTCCTGCTACGCTCTTAGCTTTGTTCTGGAACACGCCAGGACGCTCTAGTTGCTACGCTCTTTTGTTCTTCGCTTGATGCTACGCTCTGACCTCCAACACGTTCTGGATGCTAGACTCTTAGGTTTTTCTTGGTCCTTCAACACGCTCTACTGGTATTGCTTCGCTTAGGTTTCTCTTGGAACTTCCAACACGCTCTTGGTGCTACGCTCTTGACTTCCTCTTGAAACTGCCAGCGTTCTCTTGATGCTAGCCTCCTGTGCTATGCTTTTAGCCTTGGAACTTCCAGCAGGCTCTTGATGTTACGCACTCAACTCCCGCATGTTCTCAATGCTACACGCTCAATACTTTTTCATTGAACTTCCTGAGCTTTCTCCTGGAACACTCCGGCGCTCTCTTCGTTTGGGTTTGGTAATAAGATAAGAAGGTTCTACTACTTCAACTTAATGATTGATCCTTGCCTCAAGGATCTTCAACTGAGGTTGCAAAAGCACGCCACACGATCTTGATAATTACCTCTACGCTTTATATTTCGACATAACCTAGCCTTGGTGGTCAGGCCAAATCCCTATCTGCCCTCCGGCTCCTCTTCCTCTCTACATTCCTCTATTTATCTTCCCACATACAAAGAATACAGTACGCCTGCGCCCTTGCTCGTCATGCCTAGCCTGTGAACAGGCAATGTGTCGTCAGGCAATAATATACACACAATGCGTTCATAAGGGGGATTAATGCGTCGTCAGGAAGGTGTCGTTCACAATGACGTCGTCAGCGGGTGGTTAGGTAAATGGCGTAGTCAGGGGGCAATGCGTCGTCAGGGAATGTGTCGTTCACCATGCGGTCGTCAGCGGGTAATGCGTCGTCAGGGGGCAATGCGTCGTCAGGGAAGGTGTCATCACAATGCGTCCGTCAGGGGCGTGGGTAAGTGCGTCGTACAGGGGGCAATGCGTCGTCAGGGAATGTGTCGTCACAATGCGTCGTCAGTGGGTAATGGCGTCGTCAGGGGGCAATGCGTCCGTCAGTGAAGATGTCGTCACATTGCGTCGTCAGCGGGTAAATGCGTCGTCAGGAGGCAATGCGTGTCAGGGAATGCGTAGTCACAATGCTGTCAGGGGGTATTTGCGTCGTCAGGGGGTAATGCATCTCAGGGAATTGTTGTCAGGTCAACAACGCGCGTCAGGGGGCAATGCGTCGTCAGGGAATGTGTCGTCAGAATGCGTTGTCAGGGGGTAATGCGTCGTCAGGGGGCAATGCGTCGTCAGGGAATGTGTGGTCACAATGCGTCGTCAGGGGTTAATGTGTCGTCAGGGGGCAATGCGTCGTCAGGGAATGTGTCGTCACAATGCGTCGTCAGGGGGTAATGCGTCGTCAGGGGGCAACGTGTCGTCAGGGAATGTGTCGTCAGAATGCGTCGTCAGGGGGGCCGGGGGCATCGCCAATGTGTCGTCACAATGCGTCGTCAGCGTCAGCGCGAAATGTCTTACCCAAGCTGCGGGTGCCCTGTATATATATATATATATATTAATTTCGAAAGTGATTGTGCGGTTGACTTTCTGAAGGGACCAGTGATAAGACAGTCATTTGCTGGTTCGCTGCGCGTATTTGTTTGTCCTTGTCTCCATGCTGCTCTTGTTGATGATTCGGACGAAGAGGAGGCCAAGGAGGATCATGAGGACGAGGATGATGGAGGAGGAGGATGAGGATGAGGATTTTTGTTGCTAAAACTGATTGTTTCTTTCACTGCCTTCAATCCCATTCGTGAGTCTTAATTATCATTTAAGAAATTACTCATGGTCCCAGTTTGCGACTTGCAAGCCAGTTTGCTCCTTGGTTCGCTTGTGGTAGCCCCATCCTTGTAGCCACCTGTCCCTTCAGTTCTTCACTCACTTGCTGGAGCGGATCCTCCACCGACGTGCGATGTTTAAATAGGTGAATGGAGATGATTCATATTCATATATATATATATATATATTATATAGAGATATATTCATATAGTCAGTCCCTTCTCCCTAATGCTCAGTTGTATCTTACTCGCCTTTAGCTCTGCCGAGCTCCGAAGATTTGAGAAGGCGATAGAGGGAGCAAATGTCATCAAAGACCCCCCAAAAAACCATGGTGGACGTAGGGGAAGAAACCGTAGCCATGGAAAATCACCATTCTTAATAGGTAAACCATCTATTTCTATGGGCCATCTATACCATGGCTATGTTAAATAACCAAAGGGTATATATATAAATAAATAAATACATCTGTATGGGACCATAGAATGTTGTTTGAAAATATGAACGGGGGGATGGGATTACCTTTCTGCCTCAGCCCAGTCGAAACTGATGACTGCTAGGGCCCGTCGTTGCAGGGCCGCGCCCGTCACGCTGCATTTTTCTTCTCAGGAAGCACCAGGGCAGCTGCCGCCCACCAAAGATGAACCGAGAAAAAACACAGCCAGCCATGACAGAGACTTTTTTTTTCTGCCACCTAGTGATTCACCTTTTGCTTCCGCAGACCTGCACCTATAGATTGTCTTGTGTTCATGATCTTTGCATATCGTTTGCACTGAAAGTTAAAGTATTCTCACTGTTTCCTTTAAAATTCCTTGCTTCCGACAGCTACATTCCTGCCCAGAACAGAGTTTGAATCGCCACTGCGCTGCCAGCCGCTGTGACCCCCGGACCATTGGAAGGGGGCACAGCTACGCCATGGCACCTAAGAAACTGGTGTCAGCGACCACCACCACCTTCTCTCATACCTTTTGTGCAGAAAATCCAGGGAAGTTGGATGAGGTCTATAGTGTGGAGTCTTGGACCTTCAAGCCCTTCCCTCTAGTGACATGTGTTTGTTCAACATGTTGTTTCTTTTGCATCTAGTTGTCATTTCAAACGGGGGAACTCTGGCAAACCCACATGAACAGTCCCCAGAAGCAAGTTGTTTGCCGGATTCATCCAGTTGGAGGTCTAATTTGGGGATGAGTTGGAACTTTTTTGCTGGAGGACATTTGCAGCCCCTATTCATCCAACTAGGACACACACACATACATATATATATATATACTGGTACCATCCATTTCTCGCATTTCTGAGAATATCTGATAATTGTGTGGATGTTCTACCCTTGGGTTTACCACGTGAATCACTTCCAAATGAATGCATAGTGAAATGTGGTGGATCATGGTGGAACCAATGGAAAACACGATTGTATAGACGGGTTGCAGTATCAACCCTGGGCATCCCTGATTAAATAAGAAATTTGAGTGGCTTTGCCTAGTTTCCTTGGGGGTCCCAATATGTCCCAATCCTATGGAAATGTGCAAAAACGCTCAATTGCGGATATCAAGAACATGTTTTTTTAATCCCGGCCCTGGGCCTTGTGGTTTATTGGATCTATCCATTTGGAGGGTCCGCAGGGGGTTCCTGACCAAGGAGAAGAAACCTCTCGGCGAGGGTTCCTACGGTCAGGTGATGAAGGGAACGCATAAGGACCCGGAAGGGAACTGTCCTTAAGCCAGATTCCCATCACTTAGATATCCAAAATACGCGCCGGTCAAAATTAAGGCCCAAGGTAATCACACAGGTTGATAATGGTTGATAATTGTTGATCATGTTTAACATATGTTTGTAATATGTCCATGCATTAAATGTGAAATTTCCCAATTTTCAGAGAGTAGATCATGTTCATCGTGTCGTGTTGCAAAAGGGTATTTTTCAAACAAGGTCCATGGTTTAATATTGATGATCATTCTTTATCGTACCCTTCTTCTTGCCCCAGTTTACGGCCCAGGACCCCAAATCACGGCACCATACAAGGCTAACGTTATAGAATGTATCAGATGTCTATGTCGCAATGTCGGCGACGTAAAAAAGGGTCCCACCTGGATGTTCACTCCAAAAGCAGAGCACCAGGACACTGGCGCAGTCCGCGCAATTAAGGCGATTAATCGACACAAGATCTCGGACCCCGCGCGGTTTCAGGTGGAGGTGGATATTCAATCATCACTGGACCATCCGCACCACGACCGAATTTTTGTTGTCGCGGGGACCATTTATATAAATGGAAGCCCTAAAACAATTTCTGGGCGCCCCAAATGTTTGGTGATGGGATTTCGGAATGATCAGCAACAGATTGATAAACGTGGGAGTTACAATGTCCGAATTTCCAGGGAATGATGATAAGCTTGGATAGGCGAAGGGATATTTGCCACAGGGTGTACTAGGGCTTGTACCCTTACATTTCGGGGACACTCGGTTTAGTGTTCCCGTGAAATGCAAACGGGCCATGGCCAGTTTGCTGCCCGATATTTCAGTTCTTTGGAGCCCATTCCAGGCCGCTGCTGTGGCTTGGTTTCTTCCCCTTGGGACCCCCACCATGATCGGCTGATCTCAGGAACATCGTCAAGCTATATGAGGTTTTCCAGGACGCGCAGAACAGGGACGGATTAGTGGGCACGGCTGTCAGCCACTTGAACATCGTGATTTTCGTCAAAGGCATGGGTGGCTCAGGCACCTAGAGTGCTGAATACTGGTCATCATAGAAACGAGCGAGATAGAGAATGGTCATCATATCAAATTGTATCTCTAATATATTCTCTAATCGTCTACATTCCCTTCCATTTGATGACCATTCCCTCTCCATATTGGCATGCAATGGAATGTCCAGCGGCAGGACGCCAAGCGCTTCTATTTGGTGATGGAGTTATGTACCGGTGGGGAACTCTTTGAACGCATCGTGGCCGAGTCCGAAACTTGAAGAAATTGCCAGGGTTTTTCAGTGATCCGGTGATACGATGTGATACGTCAATGGGGAGAAATAATGGCATCTTAGTGAATGAGGATTTACCCTGATTCAGCCAGACATATTCATGTGGAATTTGTTTAAACCGCGTAAATCTATCATACTGCTATATTATCCAATTGGATGGGTCTGAAAATCTGGAAACGGGGTGTATATAACATATATAACTAGCCCAAAACGACATTTGCAAAGGGCAAATGACGATAAACCGCTGGATTTGTTTGGCCCTACTTTCAGACTTACCCAAATATAGCAAGTCAGAGGTGCAATGTAATTGAAGCCCTGATTCGTGATAATTTGATATTTTTCTGTAATTTGGGCAAACTAACCGAAAAAACCTAGGTTGGCAGCAGTCCAAACCTGAATTTCTGGCTGCATGACCCGTTTGAAGATGTTTTTCTACATGACACTGAGGAGAAGCACGACGGGGCCCGTGCCTTCGATGAGAGGGGTGCGGCCACCTACATGCAGCAGATCTTGGGGGCCATGAGCTGCTCGGCATGGAGAGCTATGTGGATCCCCTATGGGATGTTGAAAAATCACCAAAACATGTAGGGAAAATCGAATGGAAAATCACCCAGGACATGGAGGGATTTCGGATTTCATGATGGGGATCACGGATTTTTTTGATTCATGGGATGATAATGAAACATGATGGGTTTTCCATGATGGATTTATATAATGGGATCAATATGAATGGAGTGAATGATATTGGTGAGCAGCCCTGAAAGAATAGCAAAGTTGGTGAGCACAAAACTTGCTTCACCTATCTATCCCGCAATGGCCAGCATTTTTCACATGGGATGGTTAAATACGTTTGGGTTATACTTTGTCATCTTTGTCCAACAATAGCTACAAATAGGAAGCAACCTTTTTGGAGATTTGTTGATGGTTGATGATGGTCGTTTCCTGAAAAAACATGGGATGGATTCTGATGGATTCCCTCAGAATGGGACCGTCCAGGCTATCTCCACAAGAACAACTTCGTACATCGCGACATCAAACCGGAGAACTTCCTTATGCAAAACAACCAGGATAATGCGGAGATCAAGGTGACCAGCTTGAGTTTAAGGAATTTTGAGTTGGATGGATATGAACAACATGTTGCAATTATTGGATGCTATTGGTAGGATGAATGTTAGCCTTTTCTTACTTGCTCTGATATGATTGTAGTTAGATGTATTTTATCATATGTTTATTATTGTTGTTCCTGTGTTGTGATTTCTTCGTGTTGTGATTTCTTCGTGCTGTTCTTGCTATTATTATCGTAGTTCTGTATGGTTCTGGTATTTTTGTGTATGTTTGTTTTCCTCGTTTGTTGTCATTGTCTCCGACCATTTGGGCAAGATCAGCATGATTCATCATTCTAACCCCTGGTCGCCCAAATTGGGAAAGTTAACGCATGCCACGCAAATATCGTACTCCACATACCAGAGCGGGAACGCACTCCACAAGTTTAACACACTCCACAAATTTAACGCACTCCGCAACAGTTAACGCATACCATGCAAACATCGTACTCCTAACACCCCACATATAGTGGCTCTAGGCTATCTACAGGAAAAACGCATACCTGAACTTCATCGCCTATCATGGCAGTGCCTGGACAATACCCGAAAACTTGAAATGGGCATGCTCAATCCGCATACCTGTGTGGGAACGCACTCCACGAAGTTAACGCATACCGTGCAAACATCGTACTCCACATAGTAAGTCCAGGTTACCTACAGGGGTAACGCATACCGATGCTTCATCGCATACCATACGATGCACGAATACCACCATTATACAGCCTTTTAGGGTGCTTCAGCCATTTTGGCTTGGAGTATGGCCAGCCTTGGAGTATGGGTAAGATTCTGGTAGAATCATGATATTAAATGAATATATGGTATATATCATGGGAATTCATGGGTATGCATTTGGAAGATCATGGGATATCAAAAGCCAGAGATATTTTTTGCAGATGCAGCAACCAGCAACGACAGTTGAATTCTTGCCCTGACTGCGGCTGAGGTTATCGATTTCGGACCCCTTCCATTTGCTTCAGCATTCGTTTGCGGATGTGTCAAAAGTGATTTTTACCAAGGGTGCTTTTTCAATGATTTTCAGTTTGTTCCTGCATTACCATACACAACATCAATGTACCACACTTTTGCCCCATATCGTCGAAAGACGGTCTTTTGTTTCCAAATGCTTTGTCAATCTCTTGTGCCGTGGAAAGTGTTTGGTTCAGCGCCTGTAAGATTTATGGCCAGTGATCGTGGCTGAGGATTGGCAAAACACTACATCCCAGGAACAGGGGCTAGCATGAAGACACGTGCTGGAACACCCTACTATGTCGCACCGCAAGTCTTGGCAGGTCCCGTCGGATCCTGTCGGATCCGTCGGATTTTGTTCAACCAGCTGCCTGTGAGGAGAAAGATGGGGAGAAATCTTGACACCCAGAACATGACAGAAATTCAGACTTGCAAAATCACTTGGTTCATAGGAAAGCCATGAAATCCATGAACGGCTGCTTGCAAGCAAAACCTTTCTCTTCTTGTGGCTGCAGGTGCGTACGATGAGAAGTGCGATATTTGGAGCTGCGGCGTCATATGTTACATCCTCCTTTGCGGCTATCCTCCCTTTTATGGCCACTTGTTGCGGTGAAGTGATGCACCATAATTAGCCAGCTTATGCCAGTTTATTTCTGTGGGAACTATGTAAAAATCATCAGGGGTGGAAGTGGCAACTTTTGTATTTGCCATTATTCGATATATATATATATATATATATTTGATATGATTGGCCACTTCACTATTTGTGGTCCCCAATTTTAAAAGATGTGGAATTTCCAAGGCAAAAAAAAAAACATCCAACATCATCCTTTCCGCCGCCAGGTGAGAAGGACAAGGAAATCCTGGCGCGGGTGAAGAAAGGAGAAGTGAAGTTTGATCCTGCAGACTGGTCAGACGTCTCTAGTGATGCCATCGATTTCATCAAGTCCACTGGCAGTGAGGGTTGGTGATCTTTTTGGTTTGGCAATAAACCTGGTTGGTGGTTGGATAACCCCATGGTTTTTGCTAGGGATTAATAGGGGATAAACCCATTGGATTAATTAATAGGGGATAAACCCATTAGCTGGTTGGTGGTGACTGGAACCATGGTTAATTTTATGACTTTCCATATATTGGGAATGTCATCATCCCAACTGACGAACTCCTATTTTTCAGAGGGGTGTAGTTCAATTGTCCAGGCCTTAGGGATGATGCCCAAGTGACTCGTGTAGAAAATGGGGGTCGGTGAAACCACCAGCAGTTTCTGTAGCAGATGGCCTCACTCGTGTTATGATGGCCAACTGAGCTACAGAAGCTGTGAAGTAGTTTGAATTAAACACGTGAAAAACATGTGCCAAAAATGTATCTTAGAAATTCATTATTTTTAAAAATTTGAAAAACGGTGTTTTAAAAAATGTAAAAGCATGTGGAAAAAAGTGTATGTGTTTAAGCAATTTTGAAGGCTTGTTCCTTTTCATGTTGTTTTGATTCATGTGTGCTTTTGATTGCTTTTGTAAAAAGTATGTGTTCCGAGAAAACATTTTGGAAAAGAGGCACTGGCAATTTTGGTTTTTGGAGCAAGATGATTTTTTTCCTTGGTTTTGTGGACCAAGGAGATCAGGTAAGCAGATGAACGAAACAAAAACTATAACTTAACTAAGAGCCATTTGATGGGAGAAAAGGCTACCAGGTAAGAGGATCCAGAAGGTATAACGGCAGAAAACGGTTTTCTTAATTTCATGTTTTCATCTACAAAAATAAACTGAAGAAGCATTGACGTCTCGATAGGAATTAAAAAAACATAAAACAGATTGCATGTCTTTCGACAGCGGCAGTGGAAGCTACGCCATTGTAACTACAAAGGTTGGAACTTCAAAAATGATGGTTAGGAATACATGTTTTATCACTGTTTCACATTTTGTTCACATTTCCAAAATGCATTTTTTCACAATGCATTTTTCCATATGTTTTCACATGTTTCACACACATGCGGAAAAAAACATGTGAAAAAAAACACATGTTGAAAATGTATTGTGAAAAAATGCATTTTGAACATGCGTTTGGAGAAAAAAATGCAAAAAATATTAAACAAATGTGAACAAATGCATTTGGAAATCATGAGGGGGAAGACGCCGGGGCATTTTTTCTCTCTAGATTTGTTGTTTTTGGCCAAGGGCAGCCCTTGCTGTTTGGCGGACCTGTGCCACAAAAGGTTTGGGGACGACTGCCTGGGTGGCCTTTTTTGGTGATGGAGTTGCGGATATATGGATTGGTTTGAAAATAGGTTACCACCAAAATTGTTTTTCAATGTGGACAAATATAATCCCAATTCTTCTTATCCCATTTTTTGTTTCCTTATTTCAATTAATTAACCCATTTGGTTTGCGGGTAGTGTATATTTATACGTGTATACTTTGACTTAAGCAACAGCATGCATCAGCATCTACTGTAAATTTAATGTTAATTTTCAATGGTGCATGGCAGTGAACCCAAAAAAACCCATTGGAAAAAAAAACAAGGTTTAATCAAACATGTGTTGTCCTAATTTGCGGCATAATTTTCACATTGTTTCCTCATTTGTTCCACATGTTTTCACATGTCGAAATCACATTTTGTTCACTTTGTTTTTAAAATGCGTTTTCAACAGTTTTTTTTCTCACATGTGTTTCACAAATTTAATTAATCATTGTTTTAAGGCTTGTGGCTGGAAACGGCCATCATAACACTAGTGTCATTAACAAACTTTCTCAAGGGAAATGGGTGTTGGAAACTGCCGCAAAACCACATTGCAACACGTTCAAAAGGCTTCCAAATTCCTCTCGTAGGTCTTTGCATGTTTTTTTTGCCGGCTCAAGACCACTGAGTTATAGTGTTTCTATGGTTTTTGTTGGGTGAACTCTCGTGATTTCCCCTGTTTTTCCATGGAATCTTCCCATGTTTTTTTTCACAGCTCTGCGCTCATCGCAGAGGTTGATGCTGACCTACGATCCCAACACCCGTCCCAGTGCTGGGGACCTCCTGACCCACAAGTGGCTTACGGCCTCGGCTACGGCACCTGTGGGCAGAGTGGCCAAGGCCGGGCATGGCCGGGCCACCTTGGTGGGCGCGCTCGCTGTTGAGAATGTTTTTACCGGGTTTTTTCCCTGGTGAACATCAAAATAGCTGGGATTTATGGATGTGAATAACCCCCTAAAAATGGTATTATAATAGGTATTGATCCATACCCATTTTGTTCAAGATTCGTTGATGATAAATGTTGCACCGTAACAATCCGTAACACGTACTGTAGGGAGGCACAATTTTCAAACTTGCGCGTGACCAAAAAGCATGGATCACTGCATATGACCGCCGACCCTGTAAGATTGGATTCGCAGATGGGGCATGTAGCCTGCAGGACTTGGGGCACAAGCTGAAACGATTCCAAAGCAATTCGAGGACCTGCGTTTCTGGCGGCTTCCAGAGATACCAGACAAGCCTAGATATTACTTCGAAATCAAGAGACAGAGAGAGCGAGCGAGCGAGCAAGGACAGAATCTACCACTGGCGACGATACAAAAGTGTAGATATATACATAGGATACCACAATATACCACATATATTTGTATAATATATATATACTATATAATATACACCTTTGTTTGAAGAGTTTTGGTAATGATCGTTTGGCCAGGATGAAGAAGGTGGCGCTCACACTGATTGCCCAGCAGCTGAAAGATGACGACTTGAAGGACTGGAAACGCTGGGAAACCACAGATATTGGATGATGTTGGTTTTGATAGCATTTTCTCTGTATATTGATTTTTGAAACCACAGATAGTGGATGATATTTTGATAGCAATTTCATGTTGGAAGTCCAAAAAAGAACCTGCCCAAAAATATGGCTCTTTTTTTCCGAGGTTTTCCATCCCTGGGGAATTCGACAAAACCCCCGTCGACATTCGTGTGCCTCAAGTGGGCTGGAAATTCCAGTTTCGCTTGAATAAATGTATACTGGTTGGTGGTTTGGAACATTTTTTTTATTTTCCACAATATATGGGATAATCCTTCTAATTGACTATTTTTTTTCAAGATGGTTAAAATCACCAACCAGTATATTATATAAATTATAAATAAATATGATAATTATATGTACATATATATATAGATTATATATACATGTATAATATGGACCTCAGAGAATGTACGAATCAGATTCCAGCGATTCCACTACGAAAACCGAAAACCATGTTCCAACTTTGTTTCCGCTTTAAAAACTGGTGAAAATCCGTTGCAGTTTCACGGCGTTTCACAGAACCCCAGAGCGCACTAGATTCGCCTCAAGATGTGCAGGATGTATTTCCATCTTGCGAGAAAACGGTGGGGAAGCTGATAACTATTCATAATTCGTGGAAGTTGGCGGGCGGACTCCTATAGGAAATTGTGGCATCGACAGTCCCCGGTTTTCTTCCTATTTTTCCGCGACCAGTCGATGTTTTGGGTCTGCCGTGAGGAGTTGCGAGAGACTTTCATCCAACTGGACAAGAACAGAGACGGAACCTTGAGCTCCCTCAGCTGCAATCAGTGTCTCTGGGTAGGGCCGGTGGCACCGCTGGAAGTTCGCCAGCGCCCTCCAGTGCTAACGGAGATCATTTGATGATGGATATCAAACATTGCCATGGAAAACCAACCATTTATGTTATAGTTCGATGAATTTCCCCATTGAAAGGCCCATTGAGTTCAGGGATTTCCCTCCGGCCCGCCATGTTTGATGACGCCAGAAACCGGTGATGCGAGGCTTGGAGGAGATTCAAAGTGGCATGAAGATCCTTGGAATCAGCAGGTCTAAGCATAGACTCGACGTCCCAAAATCCCACTGGTTGGTGATGAAAATAAAGGTGTTTCATGGTTTTCCCCACGAAAACCAACCCTTATTTTCCTTTATTAGTACATGATGTCATAATCTGCAAGTCACCGGCCCCTATATATATATATATATATATATATTGTTTTTTCCTCAAAGGACAATGGTTAGGTGTAAAGTTTGGAATCCAATAAACAGAGCAGATGGATTTTAACAGAGAGTTGCTAAAGTCGTGCCCAGATTAGTTGGAATCGTTGAAAATAGCTTGGGAGCACTTGATGTTCAAAAGTCGTGCCTTTTTGTGAATCGCCAGAGCTATGCAGGTAGATCAGGTAGGCCAGTTGCATGATAATCTGTAATAGTGGCTGAGTTTGGCAGTGGCCTTCAAGAATGCACTGCCAAAATCCATGACCTAGGTGAGCTTGATGGAGGGAGAGAGAGAGAGAGAGGGGTGAGTTTGATAGAATTACATATAACATAGACCCGGGCAAGCCGGCGGCGGAAGTTTCCCAAACATAAATGACTTATAGTTCAAAGACAACCTGTCCCGACCGTGTCCTTCCCTCGACACTCCACACCTCACACTGCACACTGCACACTGCACTCTTCGCACTCCAAACTTCAAACTTCACACTCCACACTTCACACTCCACACTTCTCACTTCTCACTGCTTCCTTCACACTCCAAACCTCACACTTCACACTTCACACTGCACACTTCACACTTCACAGTCCACACTTCACACTTCACACTTCACACTCCACACTTCTCACTTCGCACTTCACACTTCACACTTCACACTCCACATTTCACACTTCTCACTTCTCACTGCTTCCTTCACACTCCAAACTTTACACTTCACACTTCACACTTCTCACTTCGCACTTCACACTCCACACTTCACAGTCCACATTTCACACTTCTCACTTCACACTTCTCACTGCTTCCTTCACACTCCTAACTTCACACTTCTCACTTCGCACTTCACACTCCTCACTTCACACTTCTCACTTCTCACTGCTTCCTTCCCACTCCAAACTTCACACTCCAAACTTCACACTTCACACTTCTCACTTCGCACTTCACACTCCACACTTCACTCCCACTTCACACTTCACAGTCCACACTTCACACTTCTCACTGCTTCCTTCACACTCCAAACCTCACACTTCACACTTCACACTTCACACTTCACACTGCGCTCTTCGCACTCCACACTTCACAGTCCACACTTCACACTTCTCACTTCACACTTCTCACTTCTCACTGCTTCCTTCACACTCCAAAATTCACACTTCTCACTTCGCACTTCACACTCCACACTTCACAGTCCACACTTCACACTTCTCACTGCTTACTTCCCACTCCAAACTTCACACTCCAAACTTCACACTTCACACTTCTCACTTCTTCCTTCACACTCCACACTTCACTCACACTTCACACTTCACAGTCCACACTTCACACTTCTCACTGCTTCCTTCACACTCCAAACCTCACACTTCACACTTCACACTTCACACTGCGCTCTTCGCACTCCAAACTTAAACTTCACACTCCACACTTCACACTTCTCACTTCCCACTGCTTCCTTCACACTGCACACTTCACACTGCACACTTCACACTGCACACTTCACACTGCACACTTCACACTGCTCTAAACCTAGGTGCAACAAAAAAACACTAGCGCCAAAATGGAGAAAATCTGCTAACAAATCCATTTCGCAGCCTTCATGCAGCCAGTCCAAGACGATGTACGAGATCCAGCTGCAAAAGACATTACGCATGCAGCCGAAGCAAGAAGCAACCTTGACGCAGCCATTCCAATGCGATCTGCGGAGACTGAGTTGCAAAACACAAGAGAACTACGCGCAATGGCATCGGAAATTGTAGCTCCAAAACCGGATCTCGACGCCAGAGCGAAAAAAAGACGATTTTGAAGCACTTTTTAAAAGGATTTTAGAAGGAAAATCACTAGCGCCAAAATGGAGAAAATCTGCTGACAAATCACTGTCGCAGCCTTCATGCAGCCACTCCAATACGATTTACGAAGTCCAGCTGCAAAAGACAATAGTATTACGCATGCAGCCACAGCATGAAGCAACCTTGACACAGCCATTACAATGCGATCTGCGGAGACTGAGTTGCAAAACACAATAGAACTACGCGCAACGGCGTCGGAAATTGTAGCTCCAAAACCGGATCTCGACGCCAGAGCGAAAAAAAGCCAATTTTGAAGCACTTTTTAAAAGGATTTTTAGAAGGAAAATCACTAGCGCCAAAAACGCATTTCGTGCGAGACTTCCTTCAAAACTCCTTGACGCAGCCATTACAATGCGATCTGCAGAGACTGAGTTGCAAAACACAATAGAACTACGCGCAACGGCGTCGGAAATTGTAGCTCCAAAACCGGATCTCGACGCCAGAGCAAAAAAAAAATTGAAGCACTTTTGAAAAGGATTTTTAGAAGGAAAATCACTAGCGCCAAAATGGAGAAAATCTGCTAACAAATCCATGTCGCAGCCTTCATGCAGCCACTCCAATACGATTTACGAAGTCCAGCTGCAAAAGACAATAGTAGTACGAATGCAGCCACAGCACGAAGCAACCTTGACGCAGCCATTACAATGCGATCTGCAGAGACTGATTTGCAAAACACAATAGAACTACGCGCAACGGCGTCGGAAATTGTAGCTCCAAAACCGGATCTCGACGCCAGAGCGAAAAAAGACGATTTTGAAGCACTTTTTAAAAGGATTTTTAGAAGGAAAATCGCTAGCGCCAAAATGGAGAAAATCTGCTGACAAATCACTGTGGCAGCCTTCATGCAGCCACTCCAGTACGATTTACGAGATCCAGCTGCAAAAGACAATAGTATTACCAATGCAGCCACAGTGCAATCCCATTTACATTGCGGGAACGATCCTAGAGTTGCAAATCACAATGGAATTCCATCGGCAACTCATCCACCAGCACCACTTGCAATCCCATTTACATTGCGGGAACGATCCTACAGTTGCAAATCACAATGGAATTCTGTCGACCGCACATGCACGAAAAACAGTTGAAACCCCATTTACAATGCGGAACCGATCCGACCATGATCCGAGCATGATCCGAGAATGATCCGACCACACACGAGACCGTCTCGCAACCGTCGCACAGCAGAGGTAGATCATCGAGGTTCGGGGACGGACTTTGTATGGGAAAAACATAGGGTTTCGTGCATCTCCTATCTCTCAAAAACGCATTTCGTGCGAGACTTCCTCCAAAACTCCATCGGCAACTCCTCCACCAGCACCACTTGCAATCCCATTTACAGTGAGGGAACGATCCTAGAGTTGCAAATCACAATGGAATTCCATCAGCAACTCATCCACCAGCACCACTTGCAATCCCATCTACATTGCGGGAACGGTCCTACAGTTGCAAATCACAATGGAATTCTGTCGACAACAAATGCACGAAACACAGGTGACACCCCATTTACAATGCGGAACCGATCCGAGAATGATCCGAGCATATCCGACCATGATCCGACCACACACGAGACCGTCTCGCAATCGTCGCACCGCAGAGGTAGATCATCGAGGTTCGGGGACGGACTTTGTATGGAAAAACATAGGCTTTCGTGCATCTGCTATCTCTCAAAAATGCATTTCGTGCGAGACTTCCTCCAAAACTCCATCGGCAACTCCTCCACCAGCACCACTTGCAATCCCATTTACAGTGAGGGAACGAGCCTAGAGTTGCAAATCACAATGGAATTCCATCGGCAACTCATCCACCAGCACCACTTGCAACCCCATTTACAATGTGGGAACGATCCTACAGTTGCAAATCACAATGGAATTCTGTCGACCACACATGCACAAAAAACAGTTGAAACCCCATTTACAATGCGGAACCGATCCGAGACCGATCCGAGAATATCCGAGCATGATCCGACCACACACGAGACCGTCTCGCACCCGTCGCACCGCAGAGGTAGATCATCGAGGTTCGGGGACGGACTTTGTATTGAAAAACATAGGGTTTCGTGCATCTGCTATCTCTCAAAAACGCATTTCGTGCGAGACTTCCTTCAAAACTCCATCGGCAACTCATCCACCAGCACCACTTGCAATCCCATTTACATTGCGTGAATGATCCTACAGTTGCAAATCACAATGGAATTCTGTCGGCCGCACATGCACGAAAAACACTTGAAACCCCATTTACAATGCGGAACCGATCCGAGAATGATCCGACCATGATCCGACCATGATCCGAGAATGATCCGACCACACACGAGACCGTCTCGCACCCGTCGCACCGCAGAGGTAGATCATCGACGTTCGGGGACGGACTTTGTATGGAAAAACATAAGCTTTCGTGCATCTGCTATCTCTCAAAAACGCATTTCGTGCGAGACTTCCTTCAAAACTCCATCGGCAACTCATCCACCAGCACCACTTGCAATCCCATTTACATTCAGGGAACAATTTCTTTGCTAACTCTTTCTGTGACTAACTCTTTCCCTCACTAACTCTTTCTTTGACTAACTCTTTCCCTGACTAACTGTTTCTTTGCTAACTCTTTCTTTGACTAACTCTTTCCCTCACTATCTCTTTCTTTGACTAACTCTTTCCCTCACTATCTCTTTCTTTGACTAACTCTTTCCCTCACTAACTCTTTCTTTGACTAACTCTTTCCCTGACTAACTGTTTCTTTGACTAACTCTTTCTTTGCCTAACTCTTTCCCTGACGAACTCTTTCTTTGCTAACTCTTTCTGTGACTAACTCTTTCCCTCACTAACTCTTTCTTTGACTAACTCTTTCCCTGACTAACTGTTTCTTTGCTAACTCTTTCTTTGACTAACTCTTTCTTTGACTACCTCTTTCCCTGACTAACTCTTTCTTTGACTACCTCTTTCCCTGACTAACTCTTTCTTTGACTAACTCTTTCCCTGACTAACTCTTTCTTTGACTAACTCTTTCTTTGACGAACTCTTTCTTTGACTAACTCTTTCCCTGACTAACTGTTTCTTTGACTAACTCTTTCCCTGACTAACTGTTTCTTTGACTAACTCTTTCTTTGACTAACTCTTTCCCTCACTAACTGTTTCTTTGACTAACTCTTTCCCTGACATTCTAAAAGTCCGTAACACGGAAGTTTCTCCCCCTAAACTTCCTTTGATAATATGATATACAGTAATATCAGTAATATAAACATAGCTACATCTCACAGGGCAGAGAGAACGAGAAAGAGCTGTAGGGAACCACTTGGCAACACTCTTGGTTAAAACATGCATTTGGCTAAGAGCTGCCAAATTAGCCACATATCGATGATGCCCCACATACATTTACCACCCTTCACGCACAAACCGAAACTCTGCAAATGTAGAGAAGTATGGCATACACAGAGCACCACGGAGATATACATGCAGATGCCACATATGTACATAGATGATCATAAATTCGATTTGATGTTTCCTTTTCATCAATACAGTACATGTACAGATACATGAACTTGTTGTGATACAATCTGATGTGGGCATTGTTTTCAATAGTGTTCCATCTTTTTCACATATAGGTCATAGGTTTTCCAGATACTTCCCACAGTTCTTCTACAGTTTTCCATATTTGTTTCGCACGGTTTTCCAGTATAAAAAACCGCGGGGTTTTCCAGTTTGGAAACCACGGTTGTCCAAACCATGTCTTTCCATATTCTGCCAAAGGTCATTCATATTATTCATGTTCGTCCAAATGTGTTCCATAGTTTTTCCACAGGTTTTCCATATTATTCATGTTCTTCCACGGTTGTCCATAATTTTCCACCGTTTTTCCAAAGGTTTTCCATAGTATTCATGTTGTCCCACGGTTAAAACACATTTTTTCCACTGTTTTTCCAAAGGTTTTTCATACTATTCATGTTCTTTAAAAAGGTGTTCCACAGTTTTTCCAAAGGTTTTCCATATTATTCATGTTCTTCCACGGTTTTCCCATAGTTTTTTCCGCAGTTTTTCCATATTATTCATGTTCTTCCAAATGTTTTCCATCGTTTTTTCCACAATTTTTCAAATGTTTTCCATATTATTCATGTTCTTTCAAAGGTTTTCCATAGTTATTCCACAGTTTTTCCAAGTGTTTTCCATATTATTCATGTTCTTCCACCGTTTTCCACAGTTTTTCCACAGTTTTTCCAAAGGTTTTCCATATTATTTATGTTCTTCCACGGTTAAAAGACAATTTTCCGCAATTTTTCGACACTTTTCCCAATGGTTTTCCACATTTGTCACGTTCTTCCACGGTTTTCCATAATTTTTCCGCAGTTTTTCCAATGGTTTTCCATATTTTCACGTTCTTCCACAGTTTTCCCATATTTTTCCACTGTTTTTCCAAAGGTTGTCTATATTTGTCACGTTCTTCCGCAGTTTTCCCATAGTTTTTTCCACAGTTTTTCCAATGGTTTTCCATATTATTCATGTTCTTCCAAAGGTTTTCCATATAGTTTTTTTCCACAGTTTTTTTCCAAAGGTTTTCCATAGTACTCATGTTGTGCCAAAGGTTTTCCATAGTTTTTCGAAAGGTTTACATATTATTCATGTTCTTCCAAAAGTTTTCCACAGTTTTTCCAACAGTTTTCCATATTATTCATGTTCTTCCAAAGGTTTTCCATAGTTTGTCCACAGTAGTTCCAAAGGTTTTCCATATTCATGTTCTTCCACCGTTTTCCATAGTTTTTCCACAATTTTTCCAAAGGTTTTCCATATTATTTATGTTCTTCCACGGTTAAAAGACCATTTTCCGCAATTTTTCGACAGTTTTCCCAATGGTTTTCCACATTTGTCACGTTCTTCCACGGTTTTCCATAGTTTTTCCGCAGTTTTTCCAAGGGTTTTCCATATTTTTACGTTCTTCCACAGTTTTCCCATATTTTTCCACTGTTTTTCCAAAGGTTGTCCATATTTGTCACGTTCTTCCGCAGTTTTCCCATAGTTTTTTCCATAGTTTTTCCAAAGGTTTTCCATATTATTCATGTTCTTCCAAAGGTTCTCCATATAGTTTTTTTCCACAATTTTTTTCCTCAGTTTTTCCAAAGGTTTTCCATATTATTCATGTTCTTGCGCGGTTAAAACATAATTTTCCACCGTTTTTCCACAGGTTTTCCATATTATTCGTGTTCTTCCACGGTTTTCCATAATTTTTCCTCCGTTTTTCCTGTGTTTTCCAGATTATTCATGTTGTTCCACGGTTAAAACACAGTTTTTCCACAGGTTTTTTTCACATGTTTTCCATATTATTCATGTTGTCCCACGGTTAAAACACAGTTTTTCCACTGTTTTTCTAAAGGTTTTCCATATTATTCATGTTGTTCCACGGTTAAAACACAGTTTTTCCACAGTTTTTGCACAGGTTTTCCATATTATTCATGTTGTTCCACGGTTAACACACAGTTTTTCCACCGTTTTTCCAAATGTTTTCCATATTATTCATGTTGTTCCACGGTTAAAACACAGTTTTTTCCACAGTTTTTCCAAAGGTTTACCATATTATTCATGTTGTTCCACGGTTAACACACAATTTTTCCACCGTTTTTCCAAAGGTTTTCCATATTATTCATGTTGTTCCACGGTTAAAACACAATTTTTCCACAGTTGTTTCAAAGGTTTTCCATATTCTTCTCATGTTGTTCCTCGGTTAAAACACAATTTTTCCACCGTTTTTCCAAAGGTTTTCCATATTATTCATGTTGTTCCACGGTTAACACACAGTTTTTCCACCGTTTTTCCCCACCTGCCAGGTGAGGGTTGTTAGATTTTATCTAAGTTGCCTGCTCCTCCTCCTCCTCTCCTCCTCCTCTCGTCGTCCTCCGGCTCTCGTTGTCCTCCTCCTCTCGTTGTCCTCCTCGTCTCGTTGTCCTCCTCGTCCTCCTGCTCAACTGCGACTCGCGATCCACAGTGTTCGCTGCCGGACCTCAACCACGACCATCCACGCCCAGTGTTCCCTGCCGGACCTCAACCACGGCCATCCCCGCCCAGTGGTCCCTGCCGGACCTCAACCACGACCATCCACGCCCAGTGTTCCCTGCCGGACCTCAACCGCGAGTATCCACGCCAAGTGTTCCCTGCCGTACCTCATGTAGGAAGATATGGGACAAAGAATGTGCAGAAGAAAGTTAGAAAGAATGTCAGAAAGAATGTCAGAAGATATGCCAGAAGATATGCCAGATAGAATGCCAAATAGAATGCCAGATAGAATGCCAGATAGAATGCCAGAAGATATGCCAGAATATATGCCAGAAGATATGCCAGATAGAATGCCAGATAATATGCCAGAAGATATGCCAGATAGAATGCCAGATAGAATGCCAGAAGATATGCCAGAAGATATACCAGAAGATATGCCAGATAGAATGCCAGAAGATATGTCAGAATATATGCCAGAAGATATGCCAGATAGAATGCCAGAAGATATGTCAGATAGAATGCCAGAAGATATGCCAGATAGAATGCATCAGATTTGCCAGATAGAATGCCAGAAGATATGTCAGATAGAATGCCAGAAGATATGCCAGATAGAATGCCAGAAGATTTGCCAGATAGAATGCCAGAAGATATGCCAGAACATATGCCAGAAGATATGTCAGGTAGAATGCCAGAAGATTTTCCAGTAAGAAAATGTATAAATTTGTAAATGTCATGGTGGGAATCACACGAAGTAAAGTAATTTTCTAAAGGTTTTCCATATTATTCATGTTGTTCCACGGTTAAAACACAGTTTTTCCACAGTTTTTGCACAGGTTTTCCATATTATTCATGTTGTTCCACGGTTAAAACACAGTTTTTCCACAGTTTTTTCAAAGGTTTTCCGTATTCTTCTCATGTTGTTCCTCGGTTAAAACACAATTTTTCCACCGTTTTTCCAAAGGTTTACCATATTATTCATGTTGTTCCACGGTTAACACACAATTTTTCCACCGTTTTTCCAAAGGTTTTCCATATTATTCATGTTGTTCCACGGTTAACACACAGTTTTTCCACCGTTTTTCCAAATGTTTTCCATATTATTCATGTTGTTCCACGGTTAAAACACAGTTTTTTCCACAGTTTTTCCAAAGGTTTACCATATTATTCATGTTGTTCCACGGTTAACACACAATTTTTCCACTGTTTTTCTAAAAGTTTTCCATATTATTCATGTTGTTCCACGGTTAAAACACAGTTTTTCCACTGTTTTTCCAAAAGTTTTCCATATTATTCATGTTGTTCCACGGTTAAAACACAGTTTTTCCACAGTTTTTGCAAAAGTTTTCCATATCATTCATGTTGTTCCACGGTTAAATCACCGTTTTTTCCACAGTTTTTTCACAGGTTTTCCATGTTTCCCCTTTTTTTTTTCATAGGTGTTGCAGCCAACGGACAGCCATGAGCTCCCAGGATGGCCAAGGCGGACCTCCCAGACGACATCGTGGAGATCGTGAAGAACTTGGACACCGAGCCTTGGAAAATGGTGATTTCCTCGTGGTTTTACGTGATTTTATGGTGCTTAATGGGATCCAACAAGATTTCTGGCGAAGAAATTGGGATTGAATACAAGTGCGGGAAATATCATAAATGTGGGGCAATACATACATATATGTTAGGAAACCCTATATATGCCATATACCTACCATTTGGGAATGGTAAAAATAGCACCCATAAAAAGTAATGATTTTGGGAATGGTTTATGATTTGGTTTGCCACAATATTATATGTATATATATTTATATATGTGTGTGATGTATATGTAGTTGTATGTACATGCAACACGCATACACACATACACACATACACACATACTCACATACATACATACATACATACATACATACATACATACATACATACATACATACATACACAGACATGCATGCATGCATGCATGCATACATACATACATAAATGACAAACATACATACATAAATGCATACATTGCATACATTGCATGCATTGCATGCATTGCATACATTGCATACATTGCATACATTGAATACATTGCATACATTGCATACATTGCATACATTACATACATTACATACATTACATGCATTACATGCATTACATGCATTACATGCATTACATGCATTACATGCATTACATCCATTACATGCATTACATACATTACATACATTACATACATTACCTGCATTACATGCATTACATGCATTACATGCATTACATACATTACATACATTACATACATTACATGCATTACATGCATTACATGCATTACATGCATTACATGCATTACATGCATTACATGCATTACATACATTACATGCATTACATACATTACATACATTACATACATTACATACATTACGTGCATTACATACATTACATACATTACATACTTTACTTACATACATACATACATACATACACATACATACATACACATACATACATACACATACATACATACATACATACATACATACGTACATACATACATACATACATACGTACATACATACATTTTTTCATATGTGCAGAGCATCCAGCTACGTTCTCTGCAAGGTATCTAAGATTAAACGTTGGTGGGGTGAATTGATATGATTCAATGGGGAGTTGTAATACGGTAAACCCAAGAGTAAGATCTCTTTTAGGGGAGACGGGGGCTTTGAACCGGAGAAGTAAAATACCATGGTTTGTCAAATGGATACTACACAGAATTTGTAGCGGAATTATGTCCTGTTTTTTGATGAAATAGATAGTTTTTTATATACGCCATTCTATTCAATCAACCAGAACAAGTCTCCACAAGCCGCTGAATGACAGTTACTTGAATGATCATTCCAGTAATGTATTTGGCAAGAATGACAACGTTGCAAGTGGAAAGTCGCGGTGTCAGATACACCTGCCAAAGTTTTATTCCCCACCTGCGGTGAGGGTAGTTAGATTTTATCAGAGCTGTTCTCCTCATCCTCCTCCTCCTCCTCCTCGTCCTCCTCCTCCTCCTCCTTCCTCCTCCTCTTCTACCACCTCTGCCTCCACTTCCACGTCCACTGTTGCCTTGCCAACTCTTGGCCAAGCTCTTCGCCAACTTCGGAGCTCTGTGCGCACTGCTGGAAATCAACCTGGGACCTTCCCAGCTCAGTGCGCACCGCTGGACCTCAACCTGGGACCTTCCTAGCTCAGTGCGCACCGCTGGACCTCAACCTGGGACCTGCCGAGCTCAGTGCGCACCGCTGGACCTCAACCTGGGGCCTTCCGAGCTCAGTGCGCACCGCTGGACCTCAAAAGCCAGATAGAATGCCAGAAGATATGCCAGATAGAATGTCAGATATAATGCGAGAAGATATGCCAGATAAATCCCAACGATATGCCAGATAGAGTGCCAGGAGATATGCCAGATAGAATGTTAGAAGATATGCCAGATAGAATGCCAGAAGGTATGCCAGATAGAATGCCAGATAAAATGCCAGATAGAATGCCAGAAGATATGCCAGATAAAGTGCCAGAATGTTTGCCAGATAGAATGCCAGAAGATTTGAGTAGATAATATGCCAGATAGAATGCCAGAAGATATGCCAGATAGAATGCCAGAAGATATGTCAGATAGAATGCCAGAAGATTTGCCACTAACAAAATGTATAAATATCATGGTGGGGATCACACGAAGAAAAGTTTTTTTTGATAATTTTATGGATTATAAATCCTAGGGATCTCCCATGACTAGCATTCCTTTTTACATTCCCAGTTTCATTCGGGATATCTCAGCCCCTATCACCTCCAACCATCTCCCATGTAGGATGGATCCGGCAACATTGACTACACGGAGTTCATGGCCGCTACGTTGACCAAGAAACAATATCTCAGGTGGGGCCCAGAGTTGTCCACCAGTCTCTGAGATGTTCAAGTAGAAGCGCATCGAATTGAATTGCATCATTACATCTGTATTTTACAAATGATGTATCATTTAACCCACATGTTACACATATATAATCATATATATATATGTATGTTTATTTATTCATTAATATATATATATATATACGTGTATATGTACGTGATATATGATATAAAATAGTGTGTATAATTATATATATATATATTTATATACATACATATACATGTTTAATATATATATATACATGTTTCATGTATATATGTTTAAAGTATATATGTTTAATGCATATTTATATATACACATGTTTGAAGTATATTTTTTTAATATATAACGTACATGTTTCTGTGATTGAACTGTCGGAGAGGCCGATGGAGATAGAGATAAAACGTATATATATATATACATATATATATATATATATATACATATATGTATGTATGTATGTATGTATTTTATATTATACTATATTACATTATATTTTATTTTAATATATTATAACATATTATATTATATTGTATTATATTATATTATGTTATATCATATTATATTATATCATATCATGTTATGTTATATTATATTATATCATATTATATTATATGTGACACACCAAAACAACACCGGGTGCTTGTTGGACTTTGTCCAGGCGCGAAGTCATGTGGGCCGCCTTCCGGGTCTTTGATACCAATGGAGATGGCGTGATCACTAAAGATGAACTCGCCAAGATTCTTAAGGCTCAGCGGCTCAGCCCTGCCCTGTTTTTTGCATTTTTTTGGGTCAAGGGAATTTCATGGACATTTATATACATTTCTTGGGTTCGTTGATGATTCGGATAATTATAGCATAATTCAGGGGAAAATAGCATCATTGAACAGGTTTTTTATGGAAAATTGATAAACATGTCCTTAGTTCCACAATTTTACCTATTAAACATGGTAATTTTCAATAGTTGTTTGTTATGTTGAATTGGAGGGTACGGCTTATGTCCGCAAGATCTGGGCTGACAATGCGCTTTTGAACAAGGGCCAAACCGCCAAGAATAGGTGAATAGATGGTCATATGTATGTATATATATATATTTCTATTATGGACTATTATGGCAATGATTGATTGAAAATTGGTTTAATTCATAGATTAGACGTGATTAGACTGAATTAGTGATATTGGTGTTTAAATCTAAATTATTGTTGAATTTGTTGTTTTTATCATATTGGGAATTGGGACGTGCCAAATTGGCAATTCATCATCTGTGCGTCGATTTTGGTCGATTCTGGGCAGGAAGAGGACAACATGGCCATTGTGGAGAAGATGGTGGCAGATGTCGACCTAGATAGTAATGGAGAGATCAGTTTCGATGAGTTTTGTACCATGATGGATTCTCGTTGATCTGATGTGGGAAAAGGTGGGAAAAGAATCGAAATGAAACGTTTGGGGTGCTTAACTGTTTTGTCAGTATAGAGCTACAAGGCTAAACTGAATATATAATACAAAAAAAAAAACATAGTAATCATATAATATAATGTAATATATTAAGTACATTAAACAATACAGTTGCAACGCCTCTTCCTTTGCCCAATTAGCCCCCTGGTATGGGAACGACTGAGGCCCTCTAAAAGCACCTTCGAGGATAAGGGATTTCAACCGATTCCATTAATTGAGCGCTTTGACATGATCATTTTTGGTTGAGGGTGTCCACTTTTCCATTTAAGTTCCAAACCACATTCCGCCGTGTTCCCTTGTTCAACTCTTGAAATGCCATGTCGTCCTTACATGTCCCCCAAATCACTGCAAACACTGAGCGTCAAAATGCAACAAGTGAAAGAGCGTGGTTACTGCACATTGTGCAGCACTTTCGATATTTTATGATATTTTGCCACTTTCATCAGTTTGGTCAAAGACTTGATGCTCCAGCTGTGACTGATTCGTACAGTCGCTAAAGAAAGAGAGAGAGAGAGAGTTCACGGCCAGTTCTTAGTGTGTAGAGGCTGACGCCCGGGCGATTGTTGATCTTTAATCAATGTTAATCATTGTTTCATGTTGTTTCGGAGTTGATTCTTCCAGACTTGATGCCTCTGATCATTCTGCCAGCTGCACCCGAGGAGAAGGACTCAGCCGGAATCCTGGGCGGAGCGGCCATGGGGGCCGAAGACCGGACACTTCCGGAAGTGTGAGACGTGGCGACCTACAGCAGTGGCGAAACATTTTTCTGGGAATGTCCTGGAGGTAATCTATCAATGTCGTGCATGCGGAAATGGATAGGCAGAAGACTTCCTTGTCAAATAGTTGTACTTCTTGGTCTGTACTTGACCTGAGTACGCAGCTGAACTTGAGAATGCGCAGAAGAAAGTCGCCATGCTGAGGCAGTCTTAGCAATTGAAGAAGTATGAGTTGGCAATCAAGCATTAATAAGCGCGATGAAGTGTGAATATGAAGGATAATTATGAGGTTGAATCTGGAACATGTTGCAGTGTAACCCGCCCCTTTTCTTGAACAATTTGGACGGCACAATCTGAAAAAGGGTGGGATGTCCATATTTTCTACTTCTGCATTGCCAACAAATTGCCCCAGAGGATCTCAAAGGCCCATTTGCAGCCCTCCGTGCAGCAGTCGGGTCTGAATCAAAGTGCTGGCGGAAATTTCTGCAAATCCCATGAAATCCCAATCTTTTCCAGTCAGGTGCAGCATTCGAAAGTCTAGAGGAAACCCATGGGTTTTTTCCCATGTTTTTCCCATCGTCTCTGGGGGGTTAAGTAGTGGTAAACCATGGAAAACCTCATAAAATTCGACTGAACTTCTCCAAAACTCCAGCCTTTCCACGGAAACTGAGGCCCTGGTGGCCCCCGTGGCCACGGCTACGGCAGCTGCAGCCTCTCCCTGTGGCACCCCTGCGAACCTGGCAGGCCGTGGCATGGGCTTCGTGTGTTGCAGCAATGGGCCAAAACGTCAGGAGGTGCGATGTGGGATGTGGACCTTGGTTGAACTTGGGTGAGAAGATGAATTTTGTAGCTCAACATACCTTAACTATAACTTACTAAATCTATAACATGTTATGACATATATATATAATTTATAATATATAATATAATATATATATGTGTGTGTGTATTATATATATTATAACCTCTATTCACTACCACTTTGTGTGTTCTGTTGTGATTTTTTGTAGCTTGGGTTTACTGGCTTGAGATTTTTGTTGGTAACTGGAGGATCCGAGTCGGTAGCCATGGATGTGGCCCGCCAAAATTTGACCCAATGAATTCGGATAAGACATGAACGTCATTTCCTAAACCAGCTTGTTACCCTCTGGTAATTTAACATAACTATGGAAAATCACCATTTATAGTGGATTTTCCCATGAAAAATTGTGATTTTCCATAGTTATGTTAAATTACCAGCTTGTTATCTTATTGTTGGGATAGTGTTCGCCCTAAATCGCAAGTATTGCGCAAAATGTATAAAATGTATCAACATGTTGTGTCACTAGCGAAATAAAATTGATCGTTTGTTGGGCATGGATGCCCCAAGAAACTTGGGAATTAACATCAAGCCAAATTGGACAAGATACTAGAAGATGTCAATGCCGAAATAGGATAACCAACTTCCAAAGCCATTGCACGGAATCCATTTTAGTAATATGACTATCGGCGTGATTACTTCACTGGTGGGCTGAAATAAATTCAACCTATGGTTGCTTGGCACTTTTGGATGAAGGGATGGTTCCAAAGCAGATCCACACTGTCACACTGTATTCAACAGGCATGGGCATTTACCCCTTTGCTGATTAAACATGGGAAAGGGAATCCGCCAATTCGGAGCTGATTAATGCGTATTTGTGTTGCCAGGTTATGCCGGAAAATCGCCACCATCAAATGGGAAGAGTTACCAGCCAGTTGTTCCACTTGGCTTCAAAATCAGGCGTTTTGAGGATACGATAAAACATGAAACCAAAAACAGCTGACAGGCCATCTTGGTCACGAAAATTCGGGGACCAAATTATTGGAGATTGGTGATTTTTGTGGAAAGGATTGCAGCTCGATGTCCCCTGAGATTCGTTCCAAGAAAAATCGTCATTTTATGTGCAGCAGCATCATTTTATGTGCCAGAGTGGTTCTGCGGGCCACAGACCTTCATGTTTTGCTGTTTTTTTGGACCAGGATATCTGAACGGGGTCCCGTTCAACTAGAAAGGACGCCGTGACACTGTTGATATGGTCTGATCCCCCATCGAAATCATTTGGCTAAGCCCAAGGGTCCTCAACAATCGCAGTAACCAAGAAGGGTGTCATAGTTTACATTGTCCCAGTCATAGGGGTATGCCCAAGAACAACACATATACTACCCGGCAATGAAAAGTGGCAGTGGGAAATTCTGTATATAAATAGAAATCATCTATAATTATATGCTGGGTTTTCAATTGCTACGTTTGCCAGAAAGCAAAAAAATCCCTTATCCTCCCCAAATTACTTAAATTGATTTATAGATAATTGACCTAGAAAAACACCTGGTCATCTCTATAATATAGTGACAGGCTTGTGTTGCTGATGCTGGCCTTCACTTGGGACAGGCGCGGAACCACAAGTCATAAGATCCTTGGGAAATCCCAGGCTGAAGAATGGGTAAGATATGGAACATTTTGTTATTTGTAGGATTTCATGGGATTTGATGGGTGTTTAAGGGATTTTGTGGGCTTTGCTGAGATTTTATGGGATTTTATTGGATTTGATGGGATTTCATGGGAGTTTATGGGATTTCATGGGATTTCATGTGATTTTAATTTATAGGGTTTGATGGGATTTTATGGGATTGTGGGAGATTTGATGAGATTTCATGGGATTTTATGTGATTTGATGGGATTTAATGATGATTTACCTTTGGTAATTCAACACAGCTATGGTATAGATGGCCCAGTTGTGAATTATTTACCTCTGAAAAATGAGGATTTTCCATAGCCATGTTAAATCACCAGAGGGTAGATTCGGTGAATTGGCCATAAATATATGATCACCAATGGATATTGATCGGAGGATCATGTGAACACATATATGATATTCTGAATATAGCCTTATTCTTGCCATATATGTCCAGCTTACCCGTGCATCCATTGGGTCGCAAGTCCTCCAATGGCTGGTTGATAGAGGTGATCCGTTCCCTTGCTGATTGATGTGACATCTTTTCTTGTTGAAGAGTTTATGGTCACAAAGAGTAATAAACCTTCTCTGCAAAGTTAAATGCATGAGCCATCTTGAGCCTGAATGAGTCCCGAAGATCTGAAAGATTCTGAAAGTACGTATACGCTGTTTGGCTTCACGCAACGCGCTGCTCTTGACATATATCATACCCCGTCCCTTCCTCAACTTGAGACCAGCCTCAAACTATCAAAGAGTTCCATGGTAAAACTCCTGCAGTTTGCTGATGCTTTCCTGCTGTAGGTTGCTGAAGCCGTCTTGCAAGGGGCTTGGCACGTCTCCTCCTTCTTGGGCCGAAGCATGGCTTGTTCAATGTGGCTCCAGAGATTTAACCAACCAAAATAGCAATATTACCCTCTGGTAATTTAACATAGCTATAGAAAATCACAATTTTTAATAGGTAAACCATCTATAAATGGGCCATTTTCCATGGCTATGTTAGTTTACCAGAGGGTAATGGGAATATTGATGGGGACATTACAGGGGATATAGCCAACTATATTCGAGATGGGTTTCACCATGTTTCACTGAACAATTTGTATTTACCCCCTTTTTTTTGCGCCATGTTGATAGGGAAAATGATGATTCACCTTGGGATTTGAGGGTACCCTTTGCGCTCCGTGTACATCTTACCTATTGATATACATACAATGTGTGGGATTGTGTGGGGCATAGCTTAGCTACATGTATAAACATATATGAGTACCTATAAACATCTATAATTAAACATGTTTAAATATCTATGAATATCTATGAATAATGGTATTTGCAAGTATCTATAAATACTGCGTCTATACATATCATTAAACATCTTTAAATATCTATATATAAATATCTGTAAACATGTATTAGGAAAGGGCCATGAAGATGCAACCGGCTCCCATGTCTCTGACGTGCATCAGGACAGCTGCAGCATGCTGCTGAAGCGGCAAAGCCTCATGTGGTCTCCCTGGCCACCGGGGCAGTGGAGAAATTGAAGCGACCTGGCCATGGGGGATCCCCAAAAACCCTATGGGTTTAATGCTAAAGTGGTCATCCATGACGACTGGATGATTTGGGGGTACCCCCATGACTTGGGAAAGCTCCATGTGTCCCTTGGATCTTATGATTGGAAGCTTTAAAAGGTAGAATAGTTGGCTCAAAATGCTGCGTCAAATGGATCAAACATTTGATTCTTCAATTCCCTGGATGGAAGACCAAGCGATAAGAATAGCCAGCAGCAGTCAGACTTCCAGACGCCTGGGTCCCAGGTCTAGCATGGAAAGGAAGAGCCCGAGCCAAAGCCTACCCAAGCCCACCAGCTCTACTTGGGAGGTGGATCTCTGAGAAGTGGCTAGGGTCGATGTGGGTTGGTCCCTTGCCGGAAAAAAAAACAGCCAAGAATACGTGGCAACGGGGAAGAAATGGGTGATTTACCTCCTACTGCGAGATCTCTACTGGAATGGATGGCCAATGTTGGCCATTTGAGTGAGAAAATGTCCATGATGATCCTGTGGATTCTGGGGCTACCATTTTTTCAGACAGGGCCATATGGTTTGTTTCATCTGCTGGGACTACTGAACGCTGCACGCTGAACAAAAATGGTCATTATTGAAGCTGGGCATGATGGCGATAACCTATGCATATACTGTATAATATAAGTACATTTATAGATGGATGAATGGATGGATGGATAGATAGATAAGTAGATACCGAAAACCGTGATTGTTGATTCAAGATATGGATATCAGCGAATGTTTGGACATTCACGATTCGCACAAGTGTAACGTTACAGATCGCCATGGAATCCGATCCATGCCGTAGCTTTAGCTTTAGCGTCGAAGAGAGAGAGGCTGCTGAAGGTGCAGGTAGAAAGAGGCCCGCTAGATGGGAAGAGCCTGCAGGTGGTTTGGCAGGCGAGGAGTCGGCGAGGAGGCTTTATTTCAGCAGATCAAGGGCAGCCCTTCGAATGCAGGCAAAGGAAAGAAACAAGGTTAAAGGAGATGGAAGGAGGGCGACGCGAGGAAGTGCGAAGCGAGGAAGTGCTCCTGAGAGAGGGAGCGATGTATGAATGTTATTTTGACTATGAGGCCCTCAGGGGTGCCGAGGAAGGATGCGCAAGAGATAGCTTCCGGAGAGGAGGAGAAAATGAGGACATGAAGAGAAGGAACAGAGGAGGAGCAAATCGCCCCGAAACAAAGAGACTTCTTCGCCTACAGAAATAGGTTATGGTATGCTATGGTAGGTATGTCCGAAAAGGTTTGGGCGCAATGGCGACTTAGGAGGGAAAAGGGAGGCAAAGATCTGAGGGAGAAGGGATATAAAACCAAAGTTATAGGATGATTATATAAAGGGGTATCATCTTGGGGTCAAATCCCAATTTATGGCGCTTATCACCTTGGTTACTCCATGTCATTCCAAACAAGCTATCATAGAAATCCTAAGTGGCCCCAGTGGCCATATGATGATCTCCTTCCAGCCCGATCCATGGCAGGCCAATAGCCGTGCGGCCGACAGCCGTGCCGACAGCCGCGCTGACAGCCGGGCCCGGCCCGCAGTGACGCCACTGGATCTCTCGGACTACGACGTGTGCTCGGAGTCAGGCGGGAAATGGGGGAGGAATGGGGGGGGTTCATGCCACCATGCCACCTAAAACCCCAAGAAAATACTGATTACAATGTGTGCAACGGGAAAACCAGTTTCAAAATGTTTCAAATACAATTTGTTTGGGGTTTCATGTTAGATTTTAGCATCATGCAACCTTTGCAGCTTTTGCCCAGAGCGAACGTGCTGGGCTGGATGTTGGGGCAAACCCTCTGAGACGCCCCGGCAAAAAGAAATGTTAGGTTTCAGGGACGTATTCCCAGAATTGGTTGAAAAATTGAACGGACACATACGAACCGGCTATTTTTGAAGGGAACAACCACAGTTGGCGGAACAAAGTTGTTTGCACACATCAACCCGTTGACTTTTTGCTGCCAATGATGACTTTTTTGGAAGTGGAGGATTGGTGGATTTCACCACGAAAAAGAGGAGAGAGAACTTGGAAATTTGATCAGCAAATATGTGGATGTCTAAGGGTGTTGAGGTCGAACCAAATTCCTCGCTCAGGTTTCACATCGTGCAGGCCAATGGCTTGATGATTTGGGTTGATGGCTGGTGATTGGGAGATTTTGAGACGTTTTGGGACATCTTGGGGCATCTTGGGACATCTTGGGACGGTGTGTGAAGAGTCGCCATTCTTTTGGGAGTCAGGAAAAACAATGCTTCACCCTCTAGTCCCGCTGCTGCCAGAAACTCATCCTTTTTTTTACTTCTGATCCGAACTTGTCAAAACAGGAAATTTATATTTGATGCATCAGAAACCATGTTCCAGCTATGCCGGGAAAAAAAAACGGTCATATGAGTCATATGCAACTTGCCATGACTAATCTTTCATTTGTTGATGGGATGTGTGTGCTGTATTGCATGTTTTCAAAGTTTGCCCGCAATCAAACATGGCAATGGAGCTTCTGAAAATCCTCTACAGTACTGTATATTCCTCCATTTGTGTCCAAGAGAGACGGTTTTCGTTCCCCCAAAAAAGAATGGGAGTGTCTTCCAGCCATGTTCTCAGGACCACCTGCCCTCCCAGCCGGGCCATCGACAGGACTGCCCAGTCGTCTCACCTTTTCACGGGAAACCCAATCCGAAATCATCCAAAATATGTGAGGCCCATGGGCCCAGCCAACCCAGTTGCTGGATGTTTGTCCTCGTATACAAGAGTTTATTTGCAATAATTATGCATGCATATTCATATATGCCTGTTAATCTACTGCTTGGAAAACATAGCGTGCCACAAGTACAGTCACTGTGCCACGGTCTACCTTTTGCATGGGCTGTACTAGCGCCTATTGGTGCCGATTTTACGGGTATGGATGTTTATGGAACCAAAGCATAGGGGTGTATTTTTGCAAAAAGCACCGCAAAGATCCGCAAAGTGTCAAGAAAACGGTTACTCCTTTACACACACACATATATATATAATATATATATATATACACATATATATATATACATATATATATATATATGTATTGTGTATATATATATTGTATATATATATTGTATAATTGCATGTATAATTTATAATATCATATAATATCATATAATTAATATCTAAATATATATATATATATACATATGCACAAAGTTTTCAGTTTTTTCAGTTTTCGGTCCCGAACTTCCAGAAAATTGTGTTTTTTTTAAACAAAAAATCAAGTTACCCAATGAAGCCGCTCCGCTATCCACTGCCTGAGCAACAGAATGTGTCAGATAATTGCATTTGATGCCAGTATATTGAGGCGTACTCTTGATAGCTAGCTTCCTCACATTCTTGAGATGTAAATTGCATTGAACTTATTATGTCTATTCACATTACAATTCCTTCATATTTCACTGTATTTATACAAACGTGGAAAACTGGGGCCCTGGTGGCGAGACTTTCTGTATTTTGGAGGTTTGACCAGCAAAAATAGAGCTGTCCTGCGCAGGACTCTGCCGGCCTTGGGAAGCTTTCCAGGCGCAGGCTACGACCTCAGCAGAGATGCCCAACTGCGGTACTCGCTGAACGATGGCGTGCCACCTCAGGCGCTGGGATGCTGTGTGTGTGTGAGTGGTATATAAGCCGCTTCTACACGGCAGAAACCCAGAAAGATATGGATTGAAGGGTGAGCAGAATTTCTGGGATGCCTCTTGACGAGTTTCCCAATCCTCAAGTGCCTGGGTTCTGAGCCATGACTTCTTCAGATGGGATCCCAATGCCCGAACGCCAGGTATTGTTCCAGACCCAGGTGCCCCAGAGTCCTTTCCCTGCACCAATTGCGGCACCAAGAGCGGCTCAGTCCTTCAACGTGCAGTCCCTGCCAGGGGCGCAGTCCTTTAACACTGAAGCTCGGTGGGGTTGGATGAACCAGCAGAAAAACATAGAAAAACGTGATATTGTGTGTATATATATATATAATTGTGTGTGTGACATGTTTGGCGCTTCAAGAAGGGTTAGCACAAGGCTCAAAGCGTAGTGAGAAGAAAGTGAGAAGGCATCTGACAAGTTCCCTGCAATCCTAGTCTAGTGAATTGGGATTAGAATCTCCCTGGCTTTGCTTCCACTGCTTTTGATTGCACACTGCGGCTGCACACACGGAAGCTACACTGCACATCTTTTGATTTGTTATGGTTGGAATTGAGTTTCCACCGCCGAACAACCGAGGTATTTCCTCAAGCTCAATCCTTCCCAGCGCTGCAGCAAATCCAATCGTTCGATATGAGGGCGCCAGTGGGTTTCCCAGCGCTGCAGCATATCCAATCTTTTGATGTGATGGCACCAGGTGGGTGCTGGGTTCAAAGATTGCTGTGTCCAAAGCCTGTTGAACTCCCGGAGAGGGCGATGGAGAGAGAGAGAGAAAGCCTGTTGAAAGACATTGCCTTGGGCCCGGGCTGCAGAGTTTGATGTTTGATGGATTTTAGTAATTTCATGTAATTTCTATATTTCAGTGACCTTCTTGAGTTATTTGGGCAGCCTATTCTTGAACAATAGCTTGTGGCTTTGGCAACGGACTCACCCTGGAGACCTGCCTCCTTTCACCTTTTCAGCTGGATAGGCAGCAGCACGGCAGCATACCACCACGTGCCACAGGTGCAGCAAATTGCAAGCAGCGGACTGATTTTCAAAGTGGATTCTAAGGACCTCCTAACGTTGGAACATTAAAGGCTGTCCGGAAAGTATGGAATACCCGAACCAACTTGGAGATAGAACGCACACTGTGATGGCTCTGGGATGTGGATAAACGATGATCAACGATGATCAACGATGATCAACGATGAAGGATTCGAGGTTTCGTCTAAATCCAGGCATTGGTGAAGGCATCGCCTCCATCACCCGCCAGGCCAAGATTCTCCGAACAACCTTGGGTGAAAAACGGCCCTTCACTGGGACGCGGGGTCCACTGATTTCACGTCCAGCTGAGCCATCTGAATCAGCTGAATCAGCTGAGCCATCTGAATCAGCTGAGTCAACAGCTGAGTAGAACCCCTGGCTTGGACAGGACAGCTCCAAGGACTTGAATGTCTCTCTGCAAAAGTTTCAGGGACGATCGATGAAGTCGAGTGCAGAATTCAAGATCATGTGGGGTATCTCATTCCATCATTCCTTCCATCCACTGGTTAATCATCATTATTCCCCCCCCAAAAAAATATCCATGATTTCATGGTCATCATATGTCATCATTTTGGGCTTAAGCCCCATGCTTTACCCCATTTTCAGGCCATAAAATTTAAGCTTTTTCCTGTACAGATTTGATCCGTGCGAAAAACATCGCATGCCTTGCCGCGCGCATGCGCGGAAATTCCTGGTCCCATCGAGGTATTGGACCCGTTTGCGTGTCGCCGACGCCAGAGTTGTTGGTTTGTGGCTGGGAGAAGTTTGTGTATAATGAATTTGGATGAATTTGGTATAGTTATTCTGAATACAATGAGTATGTGTATAATGAATTTGATACTATAATGAATCTGTTATTTGCTAGAAATTTAATGTACGATCAAGAATTTGGATATATGAGATGAATTTGGTATCCATTCATGAACCTTGATTTGTTCATAATTCTTCAGAGATGTTCAGAGTACTGGTACATGAGATGACGACGTCGGGTTACATCTTTGACAGACGTCCACAGCCAGCACAATTCATGATTAGTATGGTGGATTGCTGAATACTGCTGATGATACATGATATACACATGGAACTGAATAGGCTGGGTGACGTGATGGGCGTGATTACCCAGATTCTTCTTTTTCGGCCTGCATTTTGTTCGATGTCACAACGGGTCCTGTCGTTCAGTCTCCCAAGCTTTCACCCTTCAACTCTGCCCGTCTCCGAACCCGTTGTGATTTTTCAGGCTAGCCCTGATCTCCAGAAACGGAGCCTGGGAGATCATACAATACGGGAAATGAATGGAAATGAGACGGCACGACCGCTGGTGGTTTCTGGTGGTTTCAAAAAGTGTCAGAATTGAACAGTGGACTTTTGTTATCAACCATGACCAACCTGTAGTTTGAAGATGTGGGACTTTTGAATCATGTAGAAACCACCAAGCAGACTAGATTTCGTAGTGCTTTTTCATGTGTGCGAAAATGAACTCCGTCGGACTGCAAGAACTCAAGATCATTTTTCCGGTGGCCCTATGTTCTACGCTGCGATTTTGTGGGGGTGTCTTAGCCCATTCTAAGACAACCCCATATCAAAATATGATCATTTTAGAGTATATAAGATATAGAAGTTAACTCCTGAGGGTCTTAAAGAGAGTATATAACATCATTTAGAATCCCAGGTCCTTCCTTCAGATTTGGACAGGAAATTCTGCCCCTTGCAGGCAAGCAATTTGCGCAGAAGACCAAACTTCAACGTGGAGCCAGGTGCAGCTAGAACTTCGCCTGATAGGTCGTCGAAGTATACTTCCAAGCGTCATTTTCGGATTTTCCAGGCAATCTTTGATCAATGCTGATCAGCAATTAGGAATATTCGATAATATTCGGAATAGTTAGGAGAAAGCCAAGGGACAGATTGGCCATCCCCAGATAAGATCAAGTTGCTTGTCCCCAAAAATTCTGGTGTGGCTATCTCGCCCCTGGCCCCCGCTCTTTCTTTCTATCTTTCGATCTCTATATCTATCTCTCTATCTCTCTCTCTCTGTGTACGCTTTGGCTATTTGGCTACTGCATAGAGAGATAGATGTAGATAGATCCCAACCTGGCGTTGCTCATTTGCTCAGATCCCGGCGACTAAGAGAATCCGGCGGAACCTGAAATCAGGCTGCACGCGCTGACCAAATGGACAGAGCAGGAAAACAGGCTCCGCAGATATTCTGGTCAAGAGGAGCGAAGCGATATGCGCGGGGATCTAATCAGCAACACTATGCGGCTACGGGATGCTATGGGGCATAAATGTGCATCATCAGTTCGTAGCAATGACTGCTCATGGGCGGTCTGAAACATGCCTTACTTCTGATAGTGTTTTCTTTGATTAGTCTATGCTTGTGATTGGTTTTTGCTTTGGGGATGGCACCAAATAGAATTCGTGAAGTTTTGAGAGGCCTTGTTTTTGTGGTGTTGGTTGAGATTCTGGTTGCCAATTTCATGATCAGAAAATCTAGAAATCGCGAATATCATTGCCGTTGAGGCTGACAATCATCAACTATAATCACAAACAATATCAACATCAACATTAACATCAACACCATCAACATCAACACCTACATCAACATCTATATTGTCAACTTTATCATCATCATCATCATCATCACCATCATCATCATCCTCATCCTCATCCTCATCCTCATCCCAATCGTCATTGTCACCCGCATCCTTTATTTGTTCATCGTTTGAGTTGTTCCATTTTCAGGTGCGGGTCCCCTCTTGGAAAGTTCCAGAGCATGGGCATGACTTCCATCTAAGGATACCTCAAGATGTCGTGGTTTGACCTTTGGATACGATATGGAACGTGTCAGGATTGGTGATGTTTGAAATTGGATAGGTACTGGTTTGAAAATTGATGCACTTCCACACACACACATACATGTATTACTCGCATGTGTGTGTACACTTGACTAATTTGACTACATGTATGTAATCGTATGTATATATTATGCGTATATTTATAGATATACATACATATACATATATATATTATATTATATATACATGTTTAGAATTATAAAAAGATATCTATTTTTACATATCCATCCATATATATATACACTTAACTATTTATGAAAGAAGAACCATTTTATACCTGATAATCGTATACCAATGGTCGCTGCCTCGGCTCAGCTGGCCATGGCGCTGCTGGGAACGGGCACCTGGGGCTTCAAACTGCAGGAGACACCGGAAAATCATTGACAGTCCAGTGGGAGGCTGGCGATTTAATGTATAAATGTCTTTATATAATATATATATATTATTATTATTATTTTTTTTATTATTACTATTATTATTATTTATTATTATGTGTATATATATATACTTACATATGCATGGAAAATTTCTTTTCAATTACTGGAGGTAACCGTTCCGGGATGGTGAACTAAAAAATGATTATATGATTAAAGGGGTGTTATAAATGTGTTATATGGGGGCAATGATCATTTTTAGAGGTAAATCAATGTAAATCATCTATAGTTGAGGATTTGGTACTGATTTCACCACCAGTCTACAACTGCCATCATATATTTGATTCTAAGTATGTACGGTGCAGGGGTGGTTAACCGGAAAACACCGGTGATTGCCCCAACATGGGTGAGAGACCACCAATTGGTGGCCATCGAACACAGCGGAACATGATTTTCTTGAAAACGGGATGTTGCATGCCAGTCATTGATTGGCAAAGGGTGCAAAGCATGGAAAATCCAACATTCACTCCCTACGTTTGCATTTACAGTAGTATGCTTTTGTTATTGCACAAAAGGGCGTTAACCTTTGGTTATGGTTGCATCCCAAAATTCGATGTGGGGAAAATGTATATGGCATACGGGGATCGTTCTAAAACCCACCTATTCAAATTTAGTTTGCGGGTTTGTGGAGAACTTTGGGGTAGCTTAAAACCTGCATCGCGCAAGTTTCGCGCAAGGCCGGCCCAAGTTTTTGCGCAAGGGAAATTGTAGTAGTGGTATCTCATGTTGTTTCTTTAAAGATGTTTTCGCAAGTTTGTGTGGTTTTTCTGCATCTACAAGCGCTAGCGTTAAGTCGTATCAGCTTGTAAAAGTCGTATCGGGAGGCCGTGCGCCTGAAAAAAGTTCAAGTTTGGCATCACCACAACTTTTAGTAATTGAACAATTTCATTGTTTTGGGGCCGTGCGCCTGGAAAAAGTTCATTTTTTTATTGCGTTGATTTTTAAAAAATATATTTGATCATTCTTTCAAGGGGGCGCTGCTTGCTTGCTGCTTGCCTGCTACTTGCTGCTGCTTGCTGCTGCTTGCTGCTGCTTACCTGTTGCTGCTCACCTGCTGCTCACCTGCTGCTCACCTGCTGCTTGCCTGCTGCTTGCCTTGTTTGGCGCTGACGGGAGGTACGGGCGGGAGACACCAGCAGAGAGAGGGAATGTTTCTGGCTGGTTGGACTGAAACATTGCGGTCGCATAGCGCGGTTGTGTCGCTGTGCTCACCATCTCCGCCATCTCGCACCATCTCGCAAGACGGCGCAGACGGCAAGACGGCGCAAGACGGAACAGACACAACAGACGGCGCAGACGGAGCACCGACAAAACCTGCCACGCTTTCCGCCCGCAATGGAATGAAGGTTTTGCTACTAACCCACTTGCATTGCAAGAAATTTGAGGCTGTACCAATAGGGGTTTGATTTGGTCACGCGACGCAGGACATCAATATAATATATTCAAATCCAATAGGATTAGCTGCCGAGAATTTGTTTGTATTAACTTGTGCCCTTCAAAATCATCGCTGTGCGCAATGCTTCGGCTACTTTTAACTACATCTCCAAGTATGGATGAAACAGGCTGGGCGTAGGCATCAAAAAGAAAATAAAAATGCATCAAAAAAAAATAAAAATGCATCAACAAAAAAATAAAAATGCATCAAAAAAAAATAAAGGACGAAAGGAAGGAAGAAAGGAAGAAAGGAAGAAAGGAAGGAAGGAAGGAAGCAAGGAAAGAAAGGAAGAAAAGAAGAAAGACAGGAAGGAAAGAAGGAAGGAAGGAAGACAGAAAGGAAGGAAGGAAGAAAGGAAGAAAGGAAGGAAGAAAGGAAGGAAGAAAGGAAGGAAGAAAGGAAGAAAGAAAGGAAGAAAGGAAGGAAGGAAGCAAGGAAAGAAAGGAAAGAAAGGAAGAAAAGAAGAAAGACAGGAAGGAAAGAAGACAGGAAGGAAGACGGAAAGGAAGGAAGGAAGAAAGGAAGAAAGGAAGGAAGAAAGGAAGGAAACAAGAAAGGAAGGAAACAAGAAAGGAAGAAAGAAAAAGGAACCAAAGAAGAAAGG